GTCCTTGATATTTTGCCGGATGTAGAGTGGCGCAAAGCTCAAGATGAGTAAAATATAATTTGGCAGCGGTGAATTATTGTGTCGGTCTCACGACTGCTTCCGCCCACTAACGGTATTCAGAACACGCACGACAATCCGGGTACAAAACAATGTTACTCGCCACGAGTCGAACTGGCAGCCAAGCGTCGGTGTGTCAACCAGTCAACTGAAAAAATTCTGATTAGAGCATATACACAGGCTATGCAGAAAGGCTGGCATTCGATCAAGCAAGGCGGATCAGTTCAAAAGCGAAGGATCGATAAGGTGTCTCACGAACGAGTGGACTAAACAGTAATAGAAAAGCTAATAAGCATAAGATCCAGTGTCAATACAAGATAATCACAAACGGGAGGCAAAGAGAAAACACTTCGGCGGAGAGCAATAAAGTGGCGGGATGAACAGGGGTGAGTGGGAAAACTCACAAAGCAACGGGGAGTGGTGGAGTTTTCTTACCACTGCTATAACAGGAATGGTCATGACTACAAAACTGTGTGTTGTTGGTCCGCCTCGCTATCTAGGCTGTAGTCCACATGACCTGCGTTCTGCTTGGCTCGAGAAGTTACAGGACATAGCTCGCCCTCGTTACCAGTGGAGCATGCATTGTCGTCTCCTAGTCGGAGTACCTGCTAACAATGTATTTTAGTGCTGAGTTAGCTGCTAGGTAAGTGATGAAAATGACGCGGGGCAGTGAAAACCGCAAGGAAGTTGTCGCGCCGATGTCGACTTATTTTTTGCATGATAAGCAGGTACTTGTGACTGTACGTCGTCAGCAAAGTGTAAGTATCTTGACCCTGAATACTTGCTTACGATATCTGGGTTGTACGCTAGGTCCATCTTATATCCCTATGATGGTGGCTGAAAGCTGAGGCGGAGGAACTCGCTTGCCTCAGTGCGGTCGATCAGGTGATCAATCGAGTGGGCGACTGTTTTTAAATATACAGCTAGTTGTACTTTTTGCCTCAGAATTGTAAATAGAACGCTAGTGTTCAGAGTCGGTGTGTTTTGTTTCTCTTGACGCGACTAGGAGACCCAGGCACAAAACATGGTGACAGAGGTACCAACGTGCCAAGCCCCGCTAGCTATTGAGGATCAATCAATGATCTCGTTGCCAACCCCGCTAGAGATGAGAGAAAGCACGTTGTCAGACAACTGGAAAGCGTGGAAAGCGGATTGGATGGAATTCGCGGCGTTGATCCAGTTGGGTGAATATTCAAGGCCATACCAGTTGGCAATGTTCAGATACTCCATCGGCTCCGAAGCAAATCGGATCCTGAAGGTCTGGGATCTTCGGGACAATGAACAGGATCTTCTGGAAATCATCGAGCGTTTTGAAGGATACTGTGAAGGTCGATCGTATTTGTTTTACCCATTGCCGCCGAGTGGCCGAAAATCGTTCAGTCAAGTCTGAAGGCGATCAACAGTCGCAAGAGCGATTACCAAATAAATCGGAAAATCAAGATCAGCATTGTGTTTCTGCAATACCCCAGATTCAAAGATTACCAGTACCGTCAAAACTTGATTCAAGAGTCACCGTGAGTAGGTTGTCCGGAAAACAATACATCGGAATGCAGTGTAGTGTGAGTTGTTACAAAAGGCAGAAGGACTCCATGGTGCACCCAAAGGGGAAAGCTGTGGTGGACGCCCTCAAGAAAGCCAAAATTAGACTTACCGAAGTCAAGGCGTCGCATGAGGATCCTTAGCTAATGATACTGGGAAGAAATACGCGTTCTACCAGATTCGGCAGCAGCCCAGTGCAGCCTCCATTCAGCCACAGAGTAAACCGCAATCTCATCCACAGTGGGCGAGAATATGGAAAATGCAACACAAAAATGCGAAAAAAAGAAAAAGGAAAGGATGCTATGGTGGCAGAAAGTTGAGGCGGAGGAACTCGTCTACCTCAGTGTCGTCGATCAGGTGAACAATCGAGTGGGCGACTGTTTTTAAATATACAGCTAGTTTTACTTTTTGCCTCAGAATTGTAAATAGAACGCTAGTGTTCAGAGCCGGTGTTTTGTTGTCCTTGACGCGGCTGGGAGCCCCAGGCACAAAACAATCCCTGCTATTATTCTTTGCTCCGTTGGGCATTGTGGTTATAGGGCAGCAAAACATCAGTTTAAATATCTGATGTATTACTGTTGATGATGGTCGATGATGTGGTCGCAAACAGCAAAGTAGTAATGTTACTCCAGAATGCGACGCTAATTATCGTTGACGAATAAGGTGGAGCTGAGTACGAACTGTAATCGCCCCAAGGCACCATGCAAAAAGCAATCGGCGTCGCTCTTCTCCTCCTCCCATGTTGAGTTGTCTGAATGGTGGGGTTTCAGGAGCAGGCCTGAATTTGACGAGTTGTCGATATCACCACAGTAATCGCGGAGCAGATAACGATGGTTGCCTATCTCAGTACCGTGCCAATCAAGACCTGTTTTCACGAATACTAACCGGTACTCCTGGCGCTAATGTGCCAATCGGTGACTTCCATCGCCTAACTGCGCATGAGCACAGAATGACCACACCGCCATTAGCTATCATTGGTGAAGCTGCAGGGGATAATGCAAATTACTCCGAGTTGGTTGTGTACCTAGGAGCGCGTGCTTGTGTGTAAGGCTGCTTACGATCGGAAGTATCCAACGGTCATAAGGGCTTGCCATGATCAAACATACTACCAAAAGGCCTCTAGTGATCAGAACGCGTTCGCAACAAACATTAAATTTCTTATTCTCAGATGATGACGCACTGAGCGCATATTCAGAGCGTCGAATATCGTTATATGTAGTCACACTAGAAACGTTAACCCCTGCAGCTCTGCACGATCTCAACTGCTTGAAGCCAATCGAACGACTTCCCTAGCGTTGAGTAAAATTCACTGCGCATGACATTAACGCCGGTTCGGGGCAGTTCTCAGAAAGGGTTACGAAGCTGCGTTGGCGCGGTATCACTGAGTTAGAAAAAAGCCACTCGGGAACTTCACTATTTGTGGCAAGAGTGAAACAAAACAAAAGTAAAACAATTAGCAGCCATCTGTGTTGGTGCGTAAAGCTTGTACGCTGGCAGGGAGCGACATTCATAGGTACAATATCAGAGGTAGACAAACTGTCGACCTAAGGCGCTTGCAATGTAACCTAGGTTCATCGGTTCGAGTCTGCGCATGTGCGACCGATCGCTAGTCCGCGCCCGACCGCTGGTGGGTGCGCGATAGTGTAGCGTCGGTACGACGTACCAGCGTGCTGATGCCAAGAAGGATACACCAACCAGAATGGCATTGTCATCATTCTTTAGCGACGATGTCGATTTTGGGGTTTGTTCCCGTTGAAATGCGACATTACGCGTTGTTTCCTAGATATCCGAGGTCTAAAATTGATATAGGTGATTCAGCAAGTGATGATGGGACAGTGAGTCGCATGAATCACGTTTTAGAAAGTTTGGCCAAATATCAGCCAACTCGGAATTGGGGCACTTGGCCATCTTAGTTAATTGTCTTCCTGCTAAGTTAGGGCCCGCTTAAACCTGTATACAGGAGGAGTTGGAAAGAAACTAGGTTATTCCCAATGTTACCAGTTCCCGAGCTAGAGAAGTTCACCAACTTCCCCGATCAGCCTCGAGACTAGGCCAGACACCACCCAAATCTGACAGAAGCAAGATTTTCCCGAGGATCAACAAAAAACAACCATGCGTCTGAAATTCATCCACCATCCGGAGGCAGTAAAGTAAATGAACAAGTGATGTAGAAATAGAAGAGCGGCATCAGCAGTACACCGGCACATCGTTACCACAGGCGGTCGCGCGTAGGCTGTGTATACCACGAGGTTGCTAGCAGGTAAGCGGATGGCAAAGTTAACTAAAAAACTTCCTTAAGTTTCGAAATGAGAGCCAACATTGCAAACTAGCTCCCGTGATACCGAAAAGAAGAATGCTACGTGGGAGCGCATTAACATACCAACGGAAGTTAGGTGCCTGAAAGCGAAATTGAATTTCGCTATAACGTACGTAAACTGCAACTGAGCATAGTGCGGTCAACATGAATCCATATAAGCGCATTGTTCTTACAAAGCCGCGCAATGTGCTGCGACGGTCAGTGTTGGACAGCGGTGCTGATTTAAGGATTAGTCACTGAATAACTGTGGGGGTCGAACTCTACAATACTACGGTAAGTGCCGATCGTCAGTGCAATGTTTCATCCCTAACAAACATTATAAATGCTTGAGAAAAAAGCGCCAACAATACGTCGATGTGCTGCACTAAAGCTTCGATGGCCCTCAAACTTCACCAGTCGCGCGTGGGCTGAAAAGACTGCGAGGTCTCCTGCATCTACGCAAATTCGAACTAGTGACCTTTGGGTTGCAAGGCAGATGCTCCAAGACATCAGCCACCAGTCACCTGTCAACTTGGCGAGCATGCCAGTAGCAGCAAACACAAGGTGCCGACTAGATATCGCAGGTTATGTAAGCAATGACCCACAACAAAATCTGCACCGCACATGGAAGAGGTAGACAGCAAATCCAATAGTACAAAAAGGGCGGGAATGTCCAGTGATCGAGCCATAAAAGTGCAAAGATTGAAAAATCAAATGCGAAAGGAAACAACTTTGTAAGCACAAGGAAAATGTTAACATAGAGCAGTATTCGACTTGAATGATCAACGAGAAGATAGTCAGTGAAAAGCCAAACCTTAGTGAAAGGTCAAAAACGGATGATGAACCAAAAAAATTAAACAAGCACAAGGACGCATCATCGGTGTGGAAAATGTGAACGCAGGTAAGACGGGGACAACATGAGGAAGTAACTACTATCAAGAGCAATCAATGGCAATGGTAGCTTTATACGCAACTAACAACGCCAGAATTAAAATTAATAGAGCAAACACCGTTTGAGTATACTGGACGAAAGTACCCGTCGGAGATGTGAAACCTTTTAGAACATGATAATGAATAACGTCAAGTACAAGTAGGCTGCAACACATACCTCAAGACCATCAGGTTCGAAGCCTGGATTGGTGAGAAGATCCGGGCATCGGACAAGGGAAGCGGGTGGCAGAGGCTGAGAGAAAGACCGACTACTATGTTCTCCAGTGTGAACAGAAACAGATGGAGTAGACAAAACTGACGAGAGCTGGAATGAATATGGATTGGAAATATATTGCTCAGGGGCAGTAGAAGACAAAGTAACTTCGTTAACACGCATGAGTAGTGAAACTACTTACCGTGTTAGAACGTACCGTAGCAGGAGCTGGCTGTAGTGAGGCGGAATTCTGAGGTGGTGGGTGTGACGGCGCAGAGCGAGACTGTAATATTTTTAAACAAGCTGAAAAAGTTGATTTTATAAACTATCTCACCATCTTGAAACACTCGCTCAACATTCAAACCATATGCAGCGCAAGTTTCGTAATAGACACAACGCTTAAGGTCATTTGCCAGCTTTCGGGCACGGACATCGTCTATAACCCTTACGTAAGGTTCACCATCGGAATCTTGATGAAAATATAGTGTAGAAAATAAGCTACCTTGAGTTCCAACCAACAGAACGGGGAGGTTAGAAGTGTTCCTGTAAGTAGACAGTCTGGCGAAATAATCGTAGACAATTTGGTAGCTTTCAAAATTCTCCAGACTGAATACGAAAATAACACCATCGATCCAGTGGCTGAATTGTTGGTCCGGGGGTCCACCCTCATCTCTGATTAAAAGAAGGTGGCTTTGATTTTCCAGTGATATCTCCTTTTTGAAACGTCCACCCTCTGGGGACTCCTCGTGAAGATATGTTCCAGTTAGGTACCTGTGCACCAGAGCAGATTTTCCACTACGAACGGAGCCAAGAAGTCCCTGAAAGATGTGCATGTTACAATACGTACAATACCAGCTTGATGTCTGGGACACAATGACTTAAGGTCCATTCCTGGCTATTGACGAATGCATCTGAGGCAATATGATAAAGTGTTGGAAACCAAAGGCACCTTCGATAGAGACAACCAATTGTCTAAGAGAATCTGAAAGACCCTTGTCATCAATCGAATCGATGAGATCGTATATCGCGTAAATGCTGGGGTGAACACTTTCAAATCGTATAATTTCCTGTCTGATAGAATAAGAAATTTCGTCTGCGGAAGAAGATGATGCCATAAGTTAGACAAAAAACATCGTCAAAATGAAGACGATGTTGACAGATCGAAGTGAACTTGGGTGATCGAAGAGACTGCTATTAGCAAGAGCAACAGAGAAAGCTAAAACTCGAGCTTTACCCTACTAGCACATCCGGACAGGTTTTGGTCCTTAATCGTATTAAAAAGAATAGTAAGTCAAAGTCCATCGAAGGATTGGGCTTAACGACTAGTGTGTTTATGGGCAAAGTATTTCCCCAACATGGTTGGCGGCATCCGGTTTCGGATTTGCCTGACACTGTGGCAAGCCACAGGACGCCTGCGCCTACAGAGGGACCATGGATGGCTTGCGCTGCACCACCCACAGCTCCAACCACATACCCCATATCCAGTGTAAACCCGAAGGAATAAGACCGGGAGGCATGCGGTTGGGAACCACGTTTCATCAACGGAGCCGGCCCACACTCCTTCACAGGCAAACACAAGCACACTGTATTTGGGGAATCAAGCGCACACAAGGCGGTGGCTGAACCGTAGTCCGCTCCATACTGAGTGCATGGAACCACTCTTCGAGCCTAGCACGGCCACAAGAACCGTGCACCCCGTCCCCTCCAGCAACGACCAACTGTCTCCTGGAGCCAGTATGAACGATGTAGTGGGTAATAGACAGGTAGGCACCTTGTCAACATGCACATCAAGCGCAGCCACACCAAGGATATCAAACAACAGCCAAACACTTCACACGTATACAACATAAATGCTCACTCTCAGCATACACAGTATGTTTTACGTACAGTGCTTCATCCTTTGTTATAATGCGTTAACAAGCGTAATCTCAGATATAAACTTTTAAAGATCCTATTCCTCCAGGGCAATGAGTAACAGCATTGTTGACGGCTGTATAGCGCGGAACCATTTATCTTATTTTCTATTTCGGGACGCTACGTCAGACAACCTGGATGCCAAAAGCAACCGTTCAACAAGTAGGGCAAGACGCGTAGAGTTGTTTTTCCTCCTCTTCCGACCTGGGCCGCGCGTCACCACCTTGACTACGTATCGCGCGAAGTTCTTGGAGTCCACAGCGGGCTATGCCACTTCGTCGGTTCCTGATTGTTAACTACCGCATTTCGCCACATCTGGTGGCCGCTTTCCGCGATTATTCCAAGTATATATTTTCCACATTCTGCGGTACTTTTCTTTACATTGCGGTACGTTTGACAGGGCTGCTGTAACCAAGTTCCAGTGTTCCTAGTAGGTTATCTTGTGAACCTCCTGTACGCATATTACAAACACAGCTTCCATTTAGCATCCGTTTCACCGGCCGCAAAAACCTATGCTTACTGACATCCTGATTTTGTCAACACAAATGCAGTTCTTGATTAAAACCGTTACTTCCCTTGGTGAAGTGTTGAGTCAATCTATTACAAGTGTTCCAACCTGACGTCTGGGGGAACAAATGTGGATCTTCCAGGCCTTCATCGACGGTTTACTGAAGAACCGATTTGTGAGGTGAAACAAAAATGCCATTTCTACATTGCACAGCGTCATGTCTGCAATGAGTAGACGGCAATACATTGTCCGAAGTACTGAGGAACCCCGCAGCAGGCCTACTCACACTAAGCTTTGCTCCAGCAATTAATTATTCCAGTGCAAGGAATATTCCAGCTGCACACCAAAATACTAACTTTTCTATGATGTGTGGTACTCGCAGCAAAGGCAGTTTATACCTTTTCAGTTTCCCACCTGAGTCGCTTTGGAACAGAAGGCGCCAGGCCCGCCGATACTGTGAATGATATATAGCACTGGTTGTGCTAGGCGCGCCTATATTCAACCAGCAGAGTGGCGATCATTCGCACTTTGTCTAGTAGCCAAACAAGCTTACTACACAGTTATCCATAGACGCATTCCTTTTCAGGCTTTAGAATTAACCAGTGGAAATGGTAATGTTATTTTAACACAGAAACAATAATTTACCCTGTTACCTTCCGAAGCAATCCAGTTACTTAAATACTTATTGTGCCTTTTTGACATCTGAAGACACAGGTTAAGGCGTTTAAACAGAGGCCCGCAGCCATAAGCTTAACCGGCAAGACGATTGAAAGTCAACCGTAGGGGCCAGCGATGGTGGGTGATCCGTTTTTGGCAGCACTGTTCCGCTAGTGAGATTTTACTTGATTGGTCGGTGTGCACAATATTGGCTGCCGAAAGCTGACTCAATTGCAGACCTGGCGCCTTTGTCAGTTGTGTCGTTTACTGAGTGGACTTCCCCCAATCCCAGTAGGAGTTCGATTCGTCACAGGGTATAGAATTGCTTGATAGAAAAAAGGTTACTTTTGATATGCTTGAGCTGTTTGGGACATGGCAGCCGTTTTTGTGGAGCCTTCCGATATTTTCACTATGCATTTTGCGTGCTGCCACCCAAGGGGCGCGTTCCTGGCTACAGTGCGGGAGCGTTTCGTCAGGTGTTAGTTCTGCAATACTAGTTTGACCTCGAAACCGGTTATATTCTTAAAATTTCCTTCTCCTTTTCCTTGTACACAGCCTTAGATTATCAAATATTTTATGGATTGGGAAGGATAAGGCAAATATTTTACACGCACTTTAACCTAGGTTGATTTAGTGTCGATGTTAAATAAGGTTACTTTTTAATTATTATTTATTCACATACTTAATATGATAATCAAACTATTAAGATATATCATAAAGGATATTTTTGGATCGCAAAACACGTTTTGTGGGTTTACATGGTTGCTGTAAAACTGTACAAGATGTAACACAACTTCAAATAAATCTGCCATTGTGCAAGCAAATGGTCCCCTACAGTGCTTATCACCACGTGAACTTCTGCCAAAGGCTCGTTTGTTAACTGCGATTAAAGTTTCTTCTTGGTGTTTTATTACAAACGCCACCTGCGATTTTACTGTGGCATGCAATTACGACTAGTTCTACCCTAACGCTCTCCTTCTTGGTAAGGTTGGCTAAAGTCTGGAAATACGGGTGATACAAGCTTCTGCCTAAGCCCCTCAGTAGAGTGGCAGAAATGAAGGTCAGCCTAAGTCAGGTTCCAGGGAAGAACTAGGCTAGCGCATAATCAACGTCCTGTTTCTTGTACCGACAGGCAACCCTGGGAAACGGTACTTCAACTTTTAGGTTACTTTCCTTGCTGCTGTAAAAGATATAAGGCAAGAACGCTAGGAACATATGCGTTGTCGTGGATCAGGGACTGCTAGGCCAGAGAAGTGCAATAAACTTACAAAAATTCAGGGAAGGTCTCCAACCATTACTTAGTTAAGCCTATTTGAAGGCTTATACGGTGGTACTTCCATTTAAGGTAGAAACGTGTTCCAACTATTAACAAAACAAGTTGCAAAGTATTTGGCCCTAATTGCTAGCGTGGACCTCTGTTGCTTAAGCTTAAGTCCATACCCCTGCAGGTGGTCGGAGGCAGTTAGTTTTAAACGGGTCAGGAGGCCTGCTAATATTGGGGCCCTTAATAACTTCGAACATTTTTGCCAGGTTGTCCCTCAAACAGCGTGGTTCAATGAAAAACTACTCTAATTTCCTGAGGCGTCAGCCTTGTGACGTCCCTCGCTGGCATTCAATCATCCTAGTCGCCAAGTTTTTGAATTTCTCCTATACAAGCAATCTCCTTACGTAGATACTGTGCACAAGGTTGCACATAGTATTGGGCCGTAACACTACCTATTAAACGTAAGAAATGTCTTAGGTTTAATGTTGCATAACGCTCGCCTGAGACGGAATAACTGCTGCTGCGCCTTGCTATTTATGTGACGAGACTGTGCTGATGGTCTAGTTATTTGTCAAAATGATTGTCAAAGCACGTGATGCATAAAGGCGTGCTAACTTTAAGTTACCGATCGTAGTGTGTACTTTAACCCCTGCGGTGCCTGAGGATAACAATATCTTTTGGCATAATGAGGCAAGTAGTCCAAGTACGACCACCACGCCACAGTGCAAGGGAGTTTGGTTAATGCTTTACGATAGCCTCTGTTTACAAAATTTATACCTTCCGCAAAGTTACAGCAGGGTCTTTCAACGAGGGGATCCACTTTGATAATATACTAAAAGAATACCAGCAGGCCTAGAACCGTACGCCAGAGAACACTGCCATGAGCCTGGCCTGTGCTTGACTTGGAAACACCAACCCATAAAGAGTATCCTGCAATAAATTTCGTTAACCAGTTCAATACTCTGGAAAATATCCAAACCAATATCAGCTTTTCCGATGAGCAAGGATGGTTAACAGAGACAAAACCTTTGCTATAGTCCAGATGACGAAAAGTTACTGAAGTTGATCGTTTCGTCCTATTGAGGCTCGTCAGTTGTGCGCACATCTATTTTTCACTTCTGAGGATCCAGCCCAGGACCGCTAGTGGCTTGCACAATTAGCCGGCAGCTGATGCTGCTGTAGCACGGGGAACAACAGCCGACCGCCAAGGATAGGAGTCGAACTGAGATATAATCCGAAACGTCCTTCCCTGCGATGCAAGCTGTTGGCCGTGAAGTAGATGGCGTCGGGCCGTCCGGGTTATGGCTCTCCTTGCCAGTGTACTGAACCCAAGCAACATTTTGATGGCTGGCAGTGCTTGCTAGTTGCTTACGAATGATTATATGGATTCAGCGACCATATTTTGTTAACCATAGTTGGCTCAGAATCCGCACCTGTGTGTAACTAATCAGGACATGTGTCGCACAGTACCGTTACTTTTCCGTTTGCACAATTCCATAATTGGTACTATGTTGCCTTCCTATCGCGACGGCGTATGTAGTACCTAGAGCTGACACCTGTGCAAATGAAAAGTGCACCTAAAATAAGCAGTGTTTACGTCAAGGCATTTGTTTACTGTACTCTGGAGTGTTAAGTATTTAATAGGGGAGGTTAAGAAGCTTCACTGCGGCCTTCGCCTGAGTAACTCAGACGCAGTTCTTGATTTTGCGCTCCCATTTTCAGCGATTAAATACTGTACTGCTATGATACATTTGGTTAGCGCTATTTAACCCAGCCGGATTTAAACGCAACCACTGGTATCGATCATACTACGCCCCTAGTTGACGAACATTTAATCGTTGGCGCATAC